GGGATTTGGCTTTAATTATGCACAATGTGATATCATTTTCTTTCCCAGCTCGGGAAAGAGTTAATTCTTTCCCAAAGACCATAGTTGCCCTTGTCTTCTCAACCTGATTCAGAGATGCAATAAAATATGAAGCAAATTTATGATCTGTTTCAAGCATTTTATTGCTGTATTTTTAAATTCATATATGCACATATAAGAACTATGATCTGTGAATAATTTGAAATGCTATACTAGAATGATACATTTTAGATAAAACATAACCATATCTTTATATAATTGTCTCAGATTAAAATAAAAAAGAAAAATAGATTTCTAATGTGGACCAAACTGAAAAACTAATGACAGCCATAAACTGCTAACCAACCATAAATTAACATCTTCATCAAATGCTAAAATGGTACCAGTGGTTATATAAAGCAATTATTATTTCTCTTTATAAGTTTTAGAATAAAGTTCAGGGATATTTAAAGGATCCATTATTTACAAATGCTTCCCAATCTTAAAAGATTTCATATTTTATTAGGAGGTTGGTTGCAACTCAAATCTGCTATGTTAATAGGGATGTTTAGAGATGAGAATTTAGTTTTAAACATAAAAATGCTTCATGGCCTAACCTAATTTTATGCATTTATTCTGTTCTGGCAATTATTGGAGAACTTGGTGTAAGGATTTCTTTGTTAAATAACCTTATCTCCCTTTTGAAAAGGGAAGACAAATAATTTCTTATTATGAGAGAGACTCAGATGACGTACCCAACTGGTTAAAACATTAAATCATGCACTGTCTATTCAAGTAAGTACAGCTACATGCCATGCACAGTCTCTTTCTGCAGAGCTATGGTCAAAATGTAGCTGTTCAGCTGAGCCTGTGCCCTCCATCTGAGACTTCTATGGAAAATATTTTTTTTCCTAACCAGGCCTACACAGAAACGTGAAAAGTCATGAAGGAGGAAAGGGACGCTAGCTATTAAATACCTCTGATAAATACATCAGGAAGCAGGGTCAGGGAATAACTTACTTTAGTAATTTCGGAAAGCGTCAAGCATATGTATCTTTAGCATGCAGATTTCTCAAGAGAGTGAAATTAAATAAAATCTGGAATTACTCAACAAAGTCAGCTCTTTTCAAAATATAGAAAATTATGTTTTAATGAAAACACAACACCTATTTGGACCATAGAGGATCTGGGCAGCAGATACACACAAATGATCTCTGCCACGCAGGTGTTACTTCCCGAATGTTGCCTTCTCGGGTGGTAATTGTGGATGAACAACTCCAAAGGTCAAGGATTAACTGAGATCTTCAACTGGCTAAGTCCTATGCCCACCCTTTAGTTTAACTTTTGGCAAAAGTTTCTTTTTAGTTTAGTCTGAGGACTTTGTTTAGTCTGAGGACTTTCTTCTTGAAAAGTGAATACTATTTTTATAGCTTTTCCACAAGTCTAAAATTAGTTAAAAGTAAAGTTAAGAAACATCCAATTTAAATACATGGAGAAAGTACTACTTTCTGTATACTTTCAGGTTTATTAAAAAAAATTCAAAAGTGATTTCAAATACTTTAAAAAAACATTCCATTTAAAGTATAAAGTGAAGGCATTTAGAAAACTAAATATATGGGCCAGTTTTTAGAGGTTATGGAATGCAAGTACATTTAATTTAAACGTAATTGAAACACAAAAGACAAAATCATTTACTTCAAAATGGGGGTTGTCAGGTAATAATACATTTTAAGTTAACTGTAATGGGTAGTTTTGAGAAATAAAAGTTATATAGAATAAAGGTTCTCTCACAAACAAAAATTTCCGGCTAATGTGTGCTTTGTAAGTGTTTAAATTTGACTCAGTGACAAACCATTAGGTGTTAGTACCTTTACCTGTTATTTCTACTGCCTTAGATTCTCCTATAGGCATAAAACTTGTAAATTGTAAGGAAAAGAAAATGCTTCATGAGTCAATTCCTAAATATTTACTTTCTATGTAGTCCAATACAGCATGTCTCTCTTTACAAACATAAATCCATTTAGGAATTAAGAACATAAACTATACCTCAAACACACATTAATGTTATCCAGCATAGCTGCAGGGTATTTTTTTCTATTCAGCTATACCCTGAATAGAAAATGCACATTATTACTCATATGACCATGGATAATGCCAGACAGTTCTGCACAATTATTATTTACTCAATAAGTGTTTTTTAGAGTAAAATTGAAAGCAAAGATAATCATTTCATAGACTGTCCATTTAACGACATAATTTACCCTAAGCGTTAAACATACTGAACAGATTAGTTCAAATGAACAGGAACACTTTCAGAGTCTAAGGCGATCCTGGAAAGCATTAATGGCTCATAGGAGTGTTCCTTAGAAATGCCAAGTGTCCCAGTGAGATGTTGGATGTACAGTTACTGAAGGAGCCACACTTCATCACAGCATTCTGCATTACAGGCTTTATTTACAGCTTGCATTCAGCTCTGTGAATACATAGAATACTGTCCAAATTATGACTTTGCTTCATTCATTATCTGTAGTAAAGTAAACTGCAGAAGACAAAGACCACATCTCTTTGATGTGGAAATGGAATCTCTCTCCCATTTCTCGTTGTTCTTAAACATCTCTCTGCAGAATAGTAACTATTATTAAGAACTGTAGCCTAGCAAGGTCAGCCTGGTTAAACTAAACTTGTTAAGAAAATGATTAGTCACTGATATTTCTTGGATCTGTTTTTATTTCCCATATAAATAACTACAAGAAAACATATTGAAAAATATTCTGAATATAACAATTAATGAACTTTTTATCACAAGTATGAGAAAATAAGAATGTATGTATGTGTGTGGGGGGGGGAACGGGGAGGTGGGGATATTCAGACAGCAAAATTATTTCCCCAATAATCTACTATTTGTAATCAAATCTTATGTCACCCAACATGCTCCTAGTAGGGAAATAAGGAGACATAGTCACTCATCTGTGCTTTAAAAGTTGATTTATTGGCTTGTGGTAAATTAAAAAAAATTAAACTGGCTTACAAAGCACTTGTATGTCACCTAAGATCTTTTCAAGATAATTTGCTTCCTCATAAATCCACATATATACCATTTTAAAATCAAAAGATAATATTAAACAAATATTCAGGACAACAGATTTTTTATAAATACACAGCACTCATCTGCCTAAAAAACATTTCACAATGTAAGTATTGCCAAATTAGTTCCTTTCTAAAATTGTGCAGTAGAGATTTTCACAAATTAATCTTATTCAGCAAAATATAAAAAAGTAAACATTTAAGCAAAAAAGTTCAAATATCAATGATCGCTGATTTAGATTAACACTATGAAGTAGAGTAAGTAATAATTGCTTTTGAGAAATGCTAAAGAGTTTTATGTGATCGCTCATCGTAATTTAAAATAATGCTACAGGGAATGTAGTCTTGGCTTGCTAACTTTTTCTTAATTGAGTATGTGCATATGAATACCTAATAATGCAGTTCAAGCAAATAATGGTTGGCAATATTGGCCAATTTAATAGGTTAAAAACAGTGTACATTCTAAGGGCATATAATTCTCATTTGATAATTATTGAAAA